TTAAGCAGCCAGGTAAGACAGAACCAGAAAGAGTGTTTAGGAGATGCAAACAGTTGGCTGAACACCATTATTCCTTGTAACAATCATTTTGATCACAGCTTAGAGGTGAATAGACTTTCCTACTTCCACTCTGAGTCCACAGCTAGTGAAATCTTCTGAAACAGCTTCCTCCTTCTGAACAACCTCTTAGACAGAAATTTGCAACAGGGTATGCTGATGTCCATTCAAACAAAATAAAAATAATTCTCCAAGTACAAATTTTGTACTAACAAGTCACACTGGAAAATGCGGACTTTCAGCATTACAGGAAGCATTGGAAAGCAAAGGATCTTCATCAGCTGAATATTGATCCGTTTAACCTCCTATTCCAAATACTACAAACCCTGCTCTCTGTACTCTCTATATCTCTATACAACTGAATATGTGTGTTGTTTTCATAGACAAAGAAAGACCTGGAAGTATTTTCACAATCTTCTACTTCTTTCTAGATATATTTGAAGAAACACCATTTCCAGAACGCCAAGACAGATCAATTTTGGGAAGCTCTGGAAGAGGTATGTTTTGCAACAACCCAAACCCTTACTAATAAATGTTTCATATCTCATCCACTGGTTTCCCAAACTTTTTGTCACTTTTCTGCCAATGAGAGATTGCAAGCTAGGCAGCCTTGCAGTATATCCCAGCACATCTTATTTCTAGCAAATATATTATTTCCTCATTTTTTGGATAAGACTGTGGGAGTCGAATAAGAAATAAGAAAGGACACCTTGCTAATAAACAGCCTGCTGCTGAAACGTTTCCACCACAACTCAAACCCACTTTATGGGTAAAAACACTACTCCTTCACCACACACATGCACATCATACTCACTGTTATCTCTAACCAGATTCAGCTGTTTGAAAGCTCTCAACAGTATCCGTTCCCAAGTAATTTTGCTGCTTATCTCTGTCTCTAGCTTCTCAGTCATAGAATCATAGAGTAGACTTGGAGAAGACCTTAAAGATCACCCAGTTCCAATGCCCTGCCATGGGCAGGGACACCTTCCACCATACCAGGTTGCTCCAAGTCCCGTTCAACCTGGCCTTGGACACTGCCGGGGATGGGGTAGCCACAGCTTTTCTGGGCAACTTGTGCCAGTGTTTCACCACCCTCATGGTGGTGGAATTTCTTCCTAATGTTTAATCTATATCTACCCTCTTTGCCTTCTGAGTTGGGTCGTTCTCTGTCCCATAATTTTCTGATCTTTCCTTTTCCTTAAGGCTTGCCTGTCTCTTTCTATCTATCTCGTTGCCCCCAGAAGCTCACCTGCATACTACCAGGTTCCTCCCCCAATTACATTGTCTTTTCTTCCATCACTGTGGACATTCACAGAGCCCAACTTGCGCTTTTGTATCTTCTTTCAAGTTTACACCTTCTCCTTGGTCCCAGACTTCTTCCTGCTCAGCAAGCCTTCTTCCTGCTGTCTCTCTGGCACTTTGCATCTTCACATCATCTACTGTTTGACCTTTAGCTCCCTTCCCTCACAGGTGGCATCCTCAGCAGGCAGTGGCAGCTTTCTGCAGCTCCAGTCTCTAGGATGCAAGTTCACAGTCCACAGAATGGATCACATTTTACATTCGTGCAGCTGCTGATGTTTGTTACTGGCTTCACACTCATAACAGGACATACTGCAAGGGGACTTCTGGCTTTGAAAAATCTTTTTATGTACTTTCTGTCCTGTTCAGTTGTTTTCTCAGAAAAAATGGAATAATCTTAAAGTGTGCAAGGGGCCTCAAAGTTTCCTTTGTATTTCTTGTCCATGTTACTAGCCAGTCTCCTGCCCACATACTTCTGATTATCTTTGTCTGTGTTCAAGTTTCCAGCTCATTTCTTCTGTTAATGACAGGCACCACAAAAGGATTTAATAGAGTATTTTTTATAGTGAACATACTCTTTCCTCTGCCCTGTTCTGCTCTTCTTTCTCTCAGTATCAGAGACATTTTCTTTTTTCCTCTTTGGACTGAATTTCCTTTTTCACTGCAACCTTTTCCCATCATTCATAGGCAAGTGATATACCTGTGAAGGAAGTCATGGACACATGGACTAGGCAGATGGGCTACCCTGTTTTGGAGATGGGAAGTAATTCAGTATTCACACAGAAACGTTTTCTCTTGGATCCCAATGCAGATGCTTCTTATCCTCCTTCTGATCTTGGGTAAGTTCCTGCTGTAAATGTCTATCCAAAACAGGCAGAAATACTGCTTTCTTCAACTGACATACACATAGGCAGTGTTATACCCATTCTTGCTAAGCTTACTCTCAGCATTTGCTTTTAAAAAGAAACCAGCAGAAGTTAGATACAAATATTTTAAATTTAGGACATCATCAGCCCTTTGCTTCAGTGTTTCTTTCTCAAACACAGCAGAGTAAAATTGGACAGGGTCTCCCAGAAAATTTATTTCCACACACAGACAACTCAGATGACTGCGAACCATCTGTTGAACCACTGCAAATAATAATCTGCCACACTAAGCAAAACTGACACAAAATTGTCTCTGTCCAGAAACCAGATACCATGACCCAGGTATTTTATACCATGATAGTTTATTCCTTTTCATATATGATATAGAATCTGTAACACATCATAGGGTCTTCACACACAATACAGGGTCTTCTCTACGCATCTTAAAACCATGAGTTATTGTAAAATTACCTGTGTATTTGCAATGTTGTATTTCTCCCAATATAAGCAGAAAAGCTTGCAGGGTTTTGAAGCAACTCTAGCTGCAAACTACAGCACTGTGCCATCTGAAAGCTGGTTCCACACACTGTTCAGGAAAAAAATACTTCTTTGTGTTAAACATTTTGACTTATTGCACTATGTTCTCAGGTAGCAGACTTGGGAATCCAGCTTTTGCTTGACTACAAGACTTACAGTACATTGCCATTTGTCGTTTCTTGAGTAGAAATCCCAGCACTGTTTGTACCTTAATCTGTCAAGAAGCTGAACTGTGCACTGCCTCTGCTATTCCCAAGGTGAAAGGGGAATTTGTTTCTGAATATATAGGTTTTATAAATTACTTAGAAATAAAATGCAGTAATATATATTATAATATTGATATTATCTATCTTAGGACAGGCTTAGTCCCTTGCCTAAAAGTCAATCCACTGAAAATCAACACTTCCTCCTTCCACCCTCGCAGATGAGGAGGCTTCTGAAGAGATCCTACCCCAGATGGGAATAGCCTAATTTATTTCCAGGTGCAGGGTTTTTATTTAAGCATAGAAAACTCCAGGCCTTGAGAAAACTCCTGGATCCTGCAGGGATAGTCTCCTGAGCTGTCTCTTTGTTTCAAGCTTGTTTGGCTTGAAAGAGTCCTCTTCTGCATGCTGGCACTCAAAAGAAATGGAAATTCAGAAACCAGTGCTGGGATGGGCTTTAATATACTAGCATGACTGCTCAAAATGGCTTAATAATTTTAGCAGCCCTGTGCAGGTGGCTGTGCAGGTATGCTCATGGCATGCTCTGCCATGCTGCTTCCCTGACTACCTGGTCACAGTCTTGATTAGGCTGTGCTATGGCTCCCTTCCAGCCAATGCCTCACTTTTGGAGGAACTAGAGTTGTCTTGGAGAAGGAAAATAGTCTGGAAAAGGCAAGAGGTCCTGCTGACTGTATCACAATGGTTGCTTAAGGTCACTCAGTTTTCCCATCTGTAAAAAAAGGTTTCATAATACCTAACCATTTATTTCAAGTCAGCACTGCAAAGATTAACTGGTGTCTGCATAAAGACCTACATCGACCATCCACATACAATCATCTTTTACTAAATTAATTGCCTTATACCCTGCTAGATTATTATCAGACATGACATGAAAATAGTGTTTAGCAAGACTTCGTATTCCAAAGCCATGGTAATAAACTACAAAGTATAGCACAATGGAAATTCATTCATTTAATCTCTCTCTGATTACGGGTAATTATTACCCTCTCCAGCATACAGTCACTCAGAGGTGAAGATTGCATTCAGAAGGATATGGCCCTAGCAGTTCCATTGATTTAAAAAACCCCAAACAACCCAAACAGATAAATTGTGCAGCTTTCAGGTTTAACTTTAGACACGTAATTTGCACAGTACCATATTAACTTGTCTAAAACATCAGCATCAGACAGTGGACAAAATCTTATCCCATCAGTTCACCGGATCATTTTGAGAACTATTGATAAATACAAAGCATTAAGACAGGCTACTGCTATTCCCATCTCAGACACTTCATGCTTTTTATTTTCCTTTCCAGGGAGTGTAACTGCCCCAATCATACCACACCAATATCTGACATTTTGTTTTCTGAATAGAGTGTCACAGCACAGAAACATTTTTACAATACAAATAACAGCCATTGGTAAAAAAATGTGTTTTGTTACAAGGGATATTTGGTAAATGTATATGTACATAAGCACACAGTTGGCTTCATAAAACAAGATTTAAACATTAAAACAAATTGAAAAGATATACTGACACTTTATTTTTAGCATTTGTTTTCAAATGTCATTATATTCTCTATCACTCTAAATAATTTCAGTTACAAATGGAATATAGCAGTGAAATGGAGACTTGGGAGCTCAACAAACTATACTTTCTACAACCTATCAGACTCTGCAGGTAAACTTACCTTTCTCTTTTAAGAGTAATGAATGGATAAAGCTTTTGAATATCTTTAACAAGAAATAAAATACAGAATTGGCTTTCATGCTTTACAGTTTTCAGATCCAGGAATGAGCACAGAGCTTTGTTGGGCTGAAGTTAGTAGTTATATCTTCAATAAGATAATTATTGGCCCTACAAGGATGCTGGGGAGGGACTCTTCATTAGGGACTCTAGTGGTAGGACAAGGGGTAATGGCTTTAAACTTAAACAGGGGAACTTTAGGTTAGATATAAAGAAGAAGTTCTTCACAGTGGGGGTGGTGAGGCACTGGAATAGGTTGCCCAAGGAAGTTGTGAATGCTCCAACCCTGGAGGCGTTTAAGGCCAGGCTGGACAGAGCCTTGGGCGACATAGTTTAGTGTGTGGTGTCCCTGGTCATGGCAGGGGGGTTGGAACTAGACGATCTTAAGGTCCCTTCCAACCCTAACTGTTCTATGATTCTATGATTCTATTTCCCCTGTACTCACATTATGTCAATTAAGGCTTAATTCAGTAAAGTGTTTAAGCATGTGTTTAATTCCAGTCCTATTCAAGGATGCATCTAAGCATACTCTTAACTACGAAGTATTAAAATCAGCAGGACTTTGATATGCCCTTTTTCAAGCCTAAGAAAAGAGGTGAAGTGGCAGCTGATGAACTGTGGTATGGTAAACCGGCAATCTGAGTTAACTTAAAGAAAAAGAGCTACAAATGCTTTAAACACATTTTCTAATGATGATTTCAGGAATGAGGAAATACCTAAATAGGTATTTTTGATGATTTTTGATGCACTCAAGTTTGAAGTTCTCATTCTATAACTCTAGTGGCCAAAAAGGGGAAAAAAGAGGTGGAGGGGACGATGGTGGAGTTTTTAAATTTCATCACGTTAGAATTTCAGAAATATCACCATCAGCTCTTCTCTTAGTGTACCCTTAAAAAGCTAGTTGAAATAAACTGAAAAATTACTTTAATTGAGGATAAAATGTAAGAACTTTAAAACTAATAGTAAACATGAGGGTGGAAAAACCTTTTAAAAGAGATATTTGCAAGAACTGCTTCTTTGCAATTTTTTACTTTTTACAATGACACCAATATTCACCATCCTCCAACTAGTCACAGTGATCTCCATTTTAAATTTAATAAACTAGCTTGCCCAAGTAATTATCATAACTCACTCTTCTAAGACAAGTGCTGGCACTCATCAAAGTCTATAATAACCTACAGCCATTAAAAATAAAAAAAAGGTTTGTATCTCATTTCAATATTCATCAAAACCAAATATTACTTTTGGAGTCAAGGAATCTCCAGTGAGCTCTGTGTCATATATGCACAAACTGATCACTCTTTGTTTTGCAGGAATTACAATACCATCATCTCCTAATTCTTTTGTGAAAATTAATCCAGACCACATTGGATTCTATCGGGTGAATTATGATAGTCAAAACTGGGCCAGTTTAAGCACACTTCTGGTCAGCAACCACAAAGTGAGTGTAATAACATTAACCTGTCTGGTGGGTTTCTTATAGAGGTCTTTCGACACTGTTTTTTTCTGCAAATAATCTATGTATGCTTGATCACTCTTTTCCTTTTTTCACACAGGATTTTTCAGCTGCTGACCGTGCAGGGATTTTGGATGATGTCTTTTCTTTAGCAAGGTAAACTAATTCCCTGCAGAGATTTCAACACAAGCTCTTCACTTTACATTACATTGACTGTTAATTAGAATTAACTCAGGTGGTTGAAAGTTTCAGAATTTGTTACATCACAATTGTTTATTGGCCTGTGCTGTCTCCAAAATGGACAAATTCAAGTATGCACTGGCAACTTGCAGTACCAATGCAGACAAGGGAAATCCTCCCCTTCTGTTCGGTGGAGGAAAAAAGAAAGAGGGCTTTAATTGAACAGATTTTAGAAAGGGGTAATTTTGCCATGTAAGTAACAATAATAGAAGCACTCCAGAAGAAGTTAGGTGTCCAGAAAATCAGAAGCACTTCTACAATGCACAGCATTGCACTAAGAAATTGCCACCTCAGCTATCTTGTTTAGAAGTTTGCTTGGAAACTTCTAGCTCTTATACCCAGCCATGCTGACACAGATAGATAGAATTTAGATGGCCTTCTGAGACAGCCTGTAAGTCTGAATTGCCTCAGCCTTTTAGGATGTCTCCAGAGCTAGAAATTCCTTTTTGTGTGACAGGAGCCACCACGGTCAGTTGATGGCTACCCACTTCTGGGTACACTGGGCTGCTACACAGTGTGAGCAGCCTCCTCACAGCACTGATCAACAGTGATCCTCAGTGATCTCTTTGGAAAACAACTCTCAAGTTACATCTGAGATTATTTTCCCCCTTCCAGAATTTATTTCAGACCTTCTAAGTAAATAGCATTCTAATATCTCTAAAGAAGCAAGTTCTTCAAGTTTGCTAAAATAACAGAAGTTATGTTTTCTCTTTCTGCAGATCTGGACTAGTGAATTACTCTGTTCCTCTGGAGCTCACAAAATACCTAATAAATGAAACAGACTATTTACCATGGCATAGAGTTATATCATCTGTAACTTACCTCACAAACATGCTTGGAGATGATACAAATCTCTATCCCCGGTTTCAGGTGATGAAGCAAAAAAACCCCAAACATTTCTTCATGGCACCACTGGATCTGACAGTTCAAGATCTGTAACATCAATAACATTGGAGTTCAAGTGATTTTCAATGTTGCTGAGCATTCAGCACTTACTTTTTTTACTGTACTTTTAAAAAAAAGTGCTGAGAACTGCTTAGTACTGTTCTCTGAATTACTTGGATTCTCAGTTCAGGACTATGCACCTGGAGGAAAACATTATGCCTAATGATGGATTATTCTCATAATCCATCACCGTAAGTCACAGTACAGACATTTGTTAGTCAAGGCTGTCCTGCATCCAATAAAGAAATATGTATAGGGCAGCAAAATCTCTGACACCTGTCCTCAGCGTGAAGGATGGCTATACCTCATTGTGACAGTGAGCAGGTTTGTTGGTTGACCTAATGTGCTGAATACGAGTTAATGGTCACTAAAATAAGTTTGTCCTGAACTCAGCATTATCTCTGGAAAACAGTTGTGGCAGTGTTTCCTTGCTGTACCCCAACCTTCATTTGGTAACACATGCAAGGCTGAAGAGAAGCAGGTTGCCCTTGTCCTAGATGTAGATCAGTATTGCAAGCATTCAGAATTGCAAGCTGTGGTGATCTGGAAAGATTGTGTGTGTTTGTGCTACTTTTCATTTAAGAGATGCTAGTTCTGGGAAAAAAAGAGGGACAATAAACTATGAACACAAATATATTATTTAAAGAAGTTTACACAAGTAACCAACCCCCTTTTTCTACCTCAGGAGTATTTTCGCCAGCTGGTAAAACCCATTGTGGATCAACTACGCTGGAATGATGTTGGAGGCCATTTGGAGAGGTTAAACAATCTGGTTTTTTCCCCCTTCTTATATTATTGGGGGTTTTAGTTCTCATATTATTGATGGACTCAAAAAACGCTAAGCAGTAGGAAAATCTCTCTTTTTCTTTTAAAAGGCTCCTTCGTACGTCTGTTCTAGACTTTGCTTGCAGTATGGGTGACACAGAATCTTTGAACAACGCTTCTCAACTATTCGAGCAATGGCTACAAGGACAAATGTGAGTGATCATGGGTTTTGTTGCTGGTGAAGAACACAGCATGTGACTTGGTCACAGAACTCAAGCAGGAAAGGGGGAAGAATATTCAAGTACTGTTTCTTTATTTTAGTATTCCTGCAAATCTCCGACTTCTAGTGTATCAGTATGGGATGCAGAACTCAGGCAATGAGACATCGTGGAATTACATGTTTGAGAAATACCAAGAAACTTCATTAGCGCAAGAAAAAGAAAAGCTGCTGTATGGCCTGGCATCAGTAAAGAACATCACACTTTTGGACAGGTGATTTAAACACACCAAGATTTTTCTTTCCCGACAGAAACAACTGGTCACCATTTGCTCATTCCCCTCTCCTCTCTCCTGTGCTGTCAGTTTTTTCAGGTTACAGCATGAGGAATGTAACACATTTTCAAGACCAATTATCTAACAGCTACACCCCCCCCCCCCAGGGTTGTACTATAAGAGAAAAAAACCTTGCTCCTCTAGTGGAAAGATATTGAACACACGGTAGTTTCTACACATGTACAGCAGTCTTCGGCTTTTCAAACAGTGCCTTCACCCTGTGTAATTTTAGCTGCCTAATAATCAGAAGAAAGTTAGTTGTCTATGTTTCCTCTATAAGCAGTGAAAGGAGGCAGGACCTCCGGAGTACTGTTTATCTGAGAGCAGGAAAGGGACTTAAAATCAGTGGGAAGAATGGCTTTTGGGTGTTGCTACAAAGGGAGTTTGTTTAGACTAGGTGCCTACCTAAGTAGTCAAAATCAGGCAAACAACCTTAAGCAATAGTTACTAACGGCCCTATGAAGGATTCTGTGTGAAGTCACCATGCTCACTGAAGGGCTGTGCAGAGGTAGAGCTAGAACCAGAAATGATGTATTCATGCCACCTTGGCAGTGATGGGGAGTCTGGATACTGCCCCAGGCTGGTCCAGTGGTCAAACTGGGTGAGCGTCTTCCCAGGCTGCCACTCTGCATAGGCACACTAGCTCTTTTAAGCTTATCTGATAACTTTGCATGTAGTGGAGATGAAGGCAAACATCTTCACCGGGCCCATTCACCCCTCTGTTGCAGCCCTATCTAAATACCGTAAGACAGATCAGTCTCTGCCTGGAAGAGTTCCAAGTTTAAACTAGATGAAACAAGGAAGTACAGGAAGTTTAGGAAGAATAAATTGAAGACGTAGACTAATTAAAAGAGAGGTAGGAGGCAGCTGCATTCCTATATTCTTGTGACCACTGCCATAATCTACAGCCATTCAATAATTAATCACTAAGATATTAATTAATTAGCTAGGTCAGCCTGTATTTGCAGAAAATAAAAAATACCCCAAAAAGCAGGAAAAGCTTTCAACTTACTATTAAAATAACAAGAAGGGGGAAAAGAGCAAACTGATTGAGAAATTCCCCCTTACATATAGAAAAAAGAAGACAATCCTTAACCCCAGCACACAACGGTTTAAGGGTGTTCTTCTGCAGCTACTGCTGGAGAGGGACTTTTTACAAGGGCATGTAGTGATAGGACAAGGGGGAATGGCTTTAAGCTAACACAGAGGAGACTTAGATTAGACATTAGGAAGAAATTCTTCCCTGTGAGGGTGCTGTGACACTGGCATAAGTTGCCCAGAGAAGCTGTGGCTGCCCCATCCCTGGCAGAGTTCAAGGCCAGGTTGGATGGAGCTTTGTGCAACCTGGTCTAGGGGAAGGTGTCCCTGCCCATGGCAGGGGGGTTGGAACTCTATCTCTAGGTTTCCTTCCAACCCAAACCGTTCTATGATTCTGTGATTCTCAGCCATGTTCATGCTACTCATGTTCCCACAAGTGTGCATGCTGAAGGATCCCTCCACCCTGTCAGGCAAAACCATTTATGCTGTAACTGAAAGTATAATTGCAGCACTTGCAAGCATGCTATGCCCAAATGAAATTTAGTTCTGTGTGGATAAGGGTTTCAGAACAAACAATTTTCAGTGTAAGTCGCCTACCTGTGTACTTATAATCCCTATAAGATCTTTATAGCCTGTACTACTCCTTTTTTAGCACTTTGGCTACCCAGATAGGCTACCCATCCAATCTTGTTTTCAGTATTTTACTAAAGCATAGGAATAATAATGGGTTTTTTACTGCTTTTGAGAAACTTAGAGACATAAAACCCTATTTACTTTCCAAAAAGATGCCTAACTGCTTAGATTTCTCTCAATACAATTATCTATTGACCCAGTTTTCAACTTATGTTTTACATCAGCGTACTTCACCTTTAAAATGCTGTAGACAAAAATAATAACCCTGCTTGGAAATTGGCTGTAGACTATCATGGCAAATACTTGAGAAATATAGGCATGGGAATTGCATTATTTCTCATCATCATCAGTTAAGTCTACAAGAAAGTGTTAACTTATATTTGGTTTCTGTGGTCTTTCTGATTTTTATGGCATTTCCCTTAGGTATCTGAAATATATTTACAACACTAGCCTCATCAAAAGCCAAGATGTGTTTACAGTCCTGAGATACATCTCATATAACACCTATGGGAAAACAATGGTTTGGGACTGGATACGACTTAACTGGGAGTACTTAGTTGACAGGTATGCTAATGAACTCATTGGAAACTTTAGGTCTACATCTATCTATATATCTTGTTATATGCCATGCTTTTCTATGTTTTCACTATACTGCTGTAATCACTGGCCTTTGAATACTGAAAACAGAAAGCATATTTAACACAATGCTATCCACCTGCTACAAAAAAGTGGTTTGCTGTTAACTTGAAAACCATTCTTTCTCTAAATGCTCACTACCCAGAAATGGCAATTAAAAAGTACAGAAAGTTCTACCAAGGATATAGAAGTATGATTATTGCCTGGAAATTAGTCAGTCATGTCTCTGCTCTTTCTATTGATTTCATAACAAGAAGACTGTATAGAATTTTTTTCAGCTTCTTCCAGTGGTAACAACAAGTAGCAGACGCACAGACTAGTGGAAAGGCAAACCTTTTAGCTTTGCTCCTCTCTGAGTGACTTCTTTCTCCTTCATTCTCCTTTCTAAGTACTTGAAGAGGGCACAGAAGCAAAGCACACCTGCAAGCCTAGAGCTGTGAACTGGGCAGCATCTGTCAGCAATACACTTAATTTACAACATAAGACAAAAAGTCACTAATTAAAAGGTTAAAAAATCCCCCAGAAGAGATCACTCCATTAGTAAATATATTTGAGAACAGCACAGATATTGTAAAGGAGTATTAGTTTTCAAGTATTTTAAGAACTGGTGAAATCTAAGTGCATCTGGTTTACCATAGCACAGTTAGAAGTTTAAACTTCAGGTAATTACTTGTGCCTTTTCTTTTTTAATGGTTTTGCATAAAGCTTCATTTATTAAATTGTTTTTCTAGATTCACTATCAATGACAGATACCTTGGTCGAATAGTGACTATTACCCAATCTTTCCACTCTGAGCTCCAGCTTTGGCAGGTATGGTGACAGGACTTCTGCTGGTTTTAAGTCAATATATTTAACAATCTACTGGGCAGGTAACTTGACTTTTTATCCTTCAAATGTGCAAAGCAGTATGAGTTACTGCAAAACTATGCCACTGCTACTAGTGTGAGCTTAAGTATCTCTCCCTGCCAAAACTGCCCTTGACCAGGCCCCTGTGAAAAACCATTTGCCCAGTAGCAGCATTGTTTGCTTCATGTCAATTATTTTTCTCTCTTTTCCAGATGGAAAATTTCTTTGAGAAATATCCTAATGCTGGGGCAGGAGAATCACCCAGGAGTCAGTCAATTGAACAGGTGAAGAACAACATTGAATGGCTAAAAGCAAACAAGGAGGAAATACAAATGTGGCTAGAAGCACAGCCAGGCCCTTAAAGTCTTACTTATTAAAAATAACAGGCACTCATTCTGGGCACTCAGATCATCAGAGATATTTAGCAACATGGGTTCTTGCTTAGAGGACCAAGGCCTAATATTTTTTCTACAAACCCTCAGGAGACCACTGCCAGAGCAATATTTCTGCAGTTGCTGAGCAGGAATAGCTTTATATTCTGAGAGGTGAATTTGCCTGAACAAACAGGACAAATACATAAAGTTATTCAAGGCAGAAGTGGTGGCAGAACTGGAGTACTCACTGATCAAGCTGGTCTCACTCCTTCCTCATACCACTCTGAAAGCTACTTCTCATCTGGCACAGACGTGTATCTAGTAAACTCAGGGATTCTACTCCACATGCACCTCACAGGAGCTTTCTCCTGAAGGAAAGGGTATTAAGCAGTAATTTTAACATTGTCTGAAAATCATCCCCTATATTCATAGCTGTTAAAAAAATCTCCATTTGGAATTTAGCTTTGCATTCTGATACTACAGAAAGGCCAGCTAAGCTTCCCTCTCCACTGATTTTTGAAGTTTAACTATCAGTGCATAAGGGATCAATATTATCAGCTTCTTTTTCAATATTATTAGTTGGGATTCTGTAGTTTGGGGGAGGGAATGTCTTGGTTATTTTTGTCTTATTACTGAATCTTCTGAAAAGAAGAGCTTGTGGCAGCCATTACTGCGAACAAGACATATGGTACTTACTGTCTCTTTTCTTGTGTAAAAATAAAATTTAAAACTCTACCTGGAAATCTCAGTCTGTTTCTAATAAAGTGGTAAAGCTGCCTGGCATATAGAAAAGCAGCTGTTACATAGCCCAGCTGTGCTGTACATATAGCTTCAGTGGCTTTTGAGGGGAGAAAATCTATTATCTCCTCTGAGAAAATACTAAAAGAAATGTCAAATTCAGGCAGAGGGGCAGATGAGTCCCACTGCTGCAATTCAGCCTACTGCAGAACTACAGGCAGCAAATAAACAACTCTTGGTCCCAAGTCCTTCTGCCACTATTATGCTGGAGAAGACAGCAGGGCTGCTCTGCCTGCCCCTCCCAAGCTGGGACATGGGATGTCTTGGAGCTACTAGGTTTCCATGAGCTGTGTCCTGACACTGTACAGGCAGCAAACATGAGCATTAGCCCCATCTTCCTTGCTTTCTCTCTGGTCTCCTAGAGGAAAGGCATAGCAGAAGGGAATCGGCTAGAGCCAGTCCCTGTCCAGATGTCCTGGGAGCAGGACCACCGAGCATCTCACAGTAGGTAGTCCTGGGAAAGATTAGGCACAGCTGTTGGGAAATTCTGCAGCTGGATGAGAAGACAGAAGCATGGAAAAGCAATTCCCTTCTTGCTGCAGTGCTATCCAAAGGGAAAGTTACAGATGTTGAGGAGACAGCTCTAATGTACAGAAATACCAGGGTACAGGCTCTACCTGCCTCTAGACCTTGGTACAGCACAGAGAAGCTTATACAGTCCCAGGTGGAAACACTTCACCCTGCACTGCCAGGAGATTCAGGGCTGGAACTGTTTTGGGCCTCTCCCTAGGTACCCAATTAGCTGCAACAAGTCCAAACAAATCCGGTGACCAAGCCAGTTGTTCTGTTTTGGCTGGGGCAGAGTTAATTTTGTTCATAGTATCTGATATGGGCTATGTTTTGGATTTGTGCTGAAAACAGTTTTGATAATTCAGGGATGTTTTCCTTACAGCGAACACGCTGGGGGTGCACAAGGATTTGGGAGGGGACACAGCTGGGGCAGCTGACACCAACTGACCCAAGTTGTTGTATGATTCCATACCATACAACATCATAAGAGCTAGACAGAAAAG